GATGTTACTATTAACTACTATGATGTTACTATTAACTACTATGATGTTACTATTAACTACTATGATGTTACTATTAACTACTATGGTGTTACTATTAACTGCTATGGTGTTACTATTAACTACTATGATGTTACTATTAACTACTATGATGTTACTATTAACTACTATGGTGTTACTATTAACTACTATGATATTACTATTAACTATTATGATGCGTCTGCCTTTCAAAGATTATGCATTTTTATAGGGACCGGTCTCATGAGTGCGTGTGTGGGTGGTTGGAGGGTGCCAGTGGCAGGTGTTCCTCCTTTTCTTTCACTCTCTTGATTCTCTCTCTCTCTCTCTCTCTCTCTCTCTCTCTCTCTCTCTCTCTCTCTCTCTCTCTCTCTCTCTCTCTGTGTGTGCGTGTGTGTGTGTGCCTGTGTGTACGTGTGTGTGTGTGTGTGTGTGTGTGTCTCTCTGTCAGTATCTCTGCCTCTCTTTCATTTTCTCTATTGTCTCCCGCTATCTCTCTCGTGCTCTTTTTCTATATCTCTCCCCGTTTCTCTCTCTCTCTCTCTCTCTCTCTCTCTCTCTCTCTCTCTCTCTGTGTGTGTGTGTGTGTGTGTGTGTGTGTGTGTGTGTGTGTGTGTGTGTGTATAAATATACTCACGCACAGTGCACGCACTCACACATACGGAGCGGGGTTGTCTCAGCATGTAGGACATGTATTTACTACTGTCCTGTATTGTTGTGTGTGTATGCATGAGTGCTTCTAACCTTTGTACACACACACACACACACACACACACTACCACTAGCACATACAGACATACTAAGTAAACACAAACACCCGAAACCAGTGGGTAAAGGTGTGCAGGAATCACTTGTTTCACAAACACCTTTCCTTGTCTACGGCCATACCACGTTGAACCTACCGGTTCTCGTCCGATCACCGAAGTCAAGCAACGTCGGGCGTGGTTAGTACTTAGATGGGTGACCGCTTGGGAACACCACGTGCTGTAGGCGCAATACTTTTTTTCTTTTAATTAAATAATTATTCTAAATCTATTTTTGAAAATCAATCACACGGGAGACCAATTTAGCATTAAATAAATGTACCATATTGAATACTTACCAAATGGGTGACACGTCGGGAACACCACGAGCCGTGGGCGCACTCTGTTTCTTTATATACCAACTACTGCACCGGTAACAAATTCAGTAGCCTAGATGAGTGTGTGATGAGAGTGTGCGTACTTGTGAGTGTATAAGTTATAAATAGGTTAGCAAATACACAACCCAACTCATTGTTTAAAAGTGTCAACTTGGAAAGGTGGGAAGGCCCTGAAAAGGGCCGTTAGAATAGGAGAGAAAAGATGGGGGTCTCTCGCTGACTTGGCCAGTGGAGTTTACTTGGAGGTGGTGTACTTGGTGACAGCCTTGGTTCCCTCACTGACAGCGTGCTTGGCGAGCTCGCCTGGCAAGAGCAGCCTGACAGCGGTCTGGATCTCTCGGGAGGTGATGGTGCTCCTCTTGTTGTAATGAGCGAGACGGCTGGCCTCGGCAGAGATGCGCTCGAAGATGTCATTCACGAAAGAGTTCATGATAGACATAGCTTTGGAAGAGATGCCAGTGTCGGGGTGCACTTGCTTCAACACCTTGTAGATGTAGATGCTGTAGCTTTCCTTTCTCCTCCTCTTCTTCTTCTTATCGCCGGTGCGGACGGCTTTCGCCTTTCCGGCTTTCTTGGCTCCTTTGCTCGATACTTTGGGCGGCATGTTGCTAGTCCGACTGCGTACAACAGAACTACTGGGACCGACCGTTTCGGATTCTTTTATATCACGCATGGTCGACTGCCGAGCGCAAAACTCGGCACACCGGGGAAAGCGAGCGCGCTGATTGGCCGGGCCGCGCCTCGGCTCGGGCGGCTTCAGCCAACGGGAAGCGAGAGAGCGCACCGCGGCACACATTTTTGCGCTCGGCGAGTGCGTTCTGGGACTATATAAAGGGGGAGAGGAGAGAGGCTCAGTCAGTCGATCTGAACGCTTTCGCAGTGCAGATCTCTTAGGCTACAGTAGTTGTTTTTGAAGACTCAGTCTTGAATCTTGAATCTTGAATCATGTCTGGCAGAGGCAAAGGCGGTAAAGTCAAGGGCAAGTCCAAGTCCCGTTCCTCTCGTGCTGGTCTGCAATTCCCAGTGGGCCGTATTCACCGTCTGTTGAGGAAAGGCAACTACGCTGAGAGAGTGGGTGCTGGCGCTCCCGTGTACTTGGCTGCCGTGCTCGAGTACTTGGCTGCCGAGGTTCTGGAATTGGCAGGCAACGCTGCCCGTGACAACAAGAAGACAAGAATCATCCCCCGTCACCTCCAGCTGGCCATCCGCAATGACGAGGAGTTGAACAAACTTCTGTCCGGTGTGACGATCGCACAGGGTGGAGTGCTGCCCAACATCCAGGCTGTTCTGCTGCCCAAGAAGTCGCAGAAGGCTGCCGGCAAGAGTTAAATTCGTCCATCCCCGCCCGGTGACCGTCCCCCAAATGTCCTTTTTAGGACAACATATCTTCCCAGTTACCACTGTATTCTGCTGAGTGTTGAGTTGTTGGTTGTTCCCCGTAATTACTGACGACATGATTAGAAATAGAAGTTGACTGTCTGCTTCTCTGCTTCTCTGCTTCTCTGCTTCTCTATCTCTGTCTCTCCTTTTTACTTTTACAAGTCTACAGTGCAGTGGAGAAACACGGACAGATGAACAGGGTGATATAGTAATAGTCCTAATACTAACAGAGCAGTTGTGTGCTGTATGTTTGTTCACAACAATACAGTTGCTGGGGGTGAGGGATAGGCGTACAAGTGTGAGCATGGGCTATGGGTAGTCAAATAGTGCGTATGTGTGTACACGCACGTGTGTGTCTCTCTCTCTCATTGTGTGTGTGTGTGTGTACACAAATAGAGTTGTTGGTAGCAGACAAGGGCTGTCGAATGACCGTTAGTAGGGGTGAGAATGACAAAGATTTAACAGAAAGAGAGTGCGTGTGCACGCACGAGTGTTTATGAGTCTCTCTCTCTCTCTCTCTCTCTCTCTCTCTCTCTCTCTCTCTCTCTCTCT